GATATGGTCCAAACCACGTTCACAGAGAAGAACCCGCTCATAAACCATAACTCTCTCTTGTCTCTCCTCTGTACTCGAGTCGAACCGTTTCAAGGTACGTGTCTTGTTTGATCAGATCTTCTTTACGGATTTTCGATTGTGTCTCTTTCACTGGATTTTGTATGATTAGCGTCGAAATCTCCATTGATTTTAGTCTCGGACCGTATCGTTTTGATTGGTTTCAGGAGTGATTGTCCGAACAGATTGATTTGGTTTTGACTTTTGAGAATCTGTGAAAATGGGAAAATGGGAGCGAATGATATCGATATGGAAGAAGGGACTCTCGAGATCGGCATGGGTTAGTCACCAATCATTGATCACACATATCTGATAATCATTGAGTTAGGAATCTCCAGTGATCGGGTTCTTTAGTGATTTTCTGTAGCTCATGTAATTAATTATCTTTGTATAAGACTGATTAAGAATTTTTGAATTGCAGAATACAGAACTGTTTCTGGTGTTGCTGGACCATTGGTTAGGTAGTAGGAACATAAATTTTGACTATTAATCAAGCGATGCTAATTTTACTTTATGGAGGGAAAACTTAACTGACTGAAACATTTTTTTGATATTGTGTAATAAATCAGGGCCCAAAGTACCAGGAAATTGTTCATATTCGGTTAGGAGATGGATCGACGAGACGTGGTCAGGTTTTGGAAGTCGACGGAGAGAAAGCAGTTGTGCAGGTTCAGGATTTTTCTACTAACTATATGAATCTAGATGTACACTGCGTAGGTCGCTTCATTCGGCAGGTTTTTGAAGGAACATCTGGAATTGATAACAAGTTTACCACCGTGCAATTCACAGGAGAGGTAATGTTCATATTTGTTGAAATGATTGGTTGATTATTCTGCTTCATGTTTGTTTATGATCCAATCTTTTTTCTTTTGTAACCGGTGTGTATGTGTATGTGTGTTTCAGGTTTTGAAAACACCTGTATCATTGGACATGCTTTAACGGTTCAGGAAAACCCGATTGATAATGGTCCTCCTATTTTGCCAGAGGCTTACCTTGATATTTCAGGTCAGTTACAAAGACTATGATTGCTTTAGTGTGATCTTTGAAGCAATGTTCTCTGTCTGTGTGTGTGTGTTTTTCCTTAAATGTGTCAGTTCATTATATTGATAGGAAGCTCAATCAATCCCAGTGAAAGAACGTATCCCGAAGATATGATACAGACGGGGATTTCGACCATCGATGTCATGAATTCCATTGCTCGTGGACAGAAGATTCCTCTTTTCTCTGCTGCTGGTCTTCCTCATAATGAAATTGCTGCTCAGATTTGTCGTCAAGCTGGTCTTGTCAAGCGTTTGGAAAAAATTTCTCCTAGTACCACCACAAACATATCTTTTATTTTTCTATAATCAGAAGAATTCTATATAGCACTTATTTTGAGCTATAATTTACAAGTTTGTCAATGAAATTGTGGCTCATCTAAAGGCCTTCTATTTGTAGACATTCTTCTTTTGTCTATCGCATAAGATTCATGTTTTTTTCCAATCTTGTGCCTTTCCAGGATCATGGAGAGGACAATTTTGCGATTGTGTTTGCAGCTATGGGTGTGAACATGGAGACGGCTCAGTTCTTCAAGCGAGATTTCGAAGAAAATGGATCGATGGAGAGAGTTACCCTTTTCTTGAATCTGGTAAATTTACTAGTTGTGACTTGTATTGCTATATCTTTTCTGGTTTTAGTATTATACATTCCGTACCTTAAAATGGAGATTACTCCGATAGGCCAATGACCCGACCATTGAGAGAATCATCACTCCTCGAATCGCCCTCACAACAGCAGAATATCTGGCTTATGAATGTGGGAAACACATCCTCGTTATATTGACGGATATGAGTTCGTATGCTGATGCTCTTCGTGAGGTAAAATGAAATACTAATACCAGGAGTAGTCCCTTTATTCCATACTGTGTTTTTTTGTTTTCAATTTTGATAATAGGATTGAGAAACTGTAGGTATCCGCTGCACGAGAAGAAGTTCCGGGAAGACGTGGATATCCAGGTTATATGTACACTGATCTTGCAACTATTTATGAACGTGCTGGGCGTATCGAAGGAAGAAAAGGTCCCATCACCCAAATCCCTATCCTGACTATGCCCAACGACAGTAAAAGAAAAATCAACAATCCTCTAATTTCTGCTTTATCTCTCGAGTAACCTTAATACTTACTCATAGTTGTTTTCAATCAAAAATCAGACATCACGCATCCAACTCCGGATCTTACTGGTTACATTACTGAAGGTCAGATATATATCGATAGGCAACTTCACAACCGACAGGTAATAACCCCTCGAGTCCGTGATCTTACTGGTTTCGCTTAATCTACGATTGAGCTCTAGTTTTATGTTATCTCTATTTCTTCCATAAAAACAGATTTATCCACCCATCAATGTGCTTCCATCTCTTTCTCGTCTAATGAAGGTTAGAAATTAAACTCCATTCTCGTTAATATCTATCGCATTGTCTCTCTAGATCTTATTAACTTACCATTCGTCGTTCTTTAGAGTGCTATTGGCGAGGAGATGACTCGTAAAGACCATTCGGATGTGTCAAACCAGCTATACGCAAATTATGCAATCGGGAAAGACATTCAAGCGATGAAAGCTGTTGTTGGAGAAGAAGCACTTTCTTCAGAGGATCTACTATATCTAGAGTTCTTGGATAAGTTTGTGATGCAAGGTGCTTACGACACGCGCAACATTTTCCAGTCGTTGGACTTAGCTTGGACATTGCTCCGTTTCTTCCCACGCGAGCTTCTTCACCGTATCCCTGCAAAGACACTCGACCAGTTCTATAGCCGCGACTTTCAAGATTTCTTCTTGTTTTTGTTTTCCTTGTCAGGCAAAAAAAGTAATGGAGGTATGAGCTATATCGTATCGAAACTCTTTGAGAGATGATAAAAAGTGTGAATTTTGTGATGTATTGTTTTTGTGTTTATATATACTATAAAGCAAAAAAAAAAAAAGCATTTTGTGTAATTTGTTTCACACAGTGAAATATAATAAACGAGATAAAACATGTATCTTCTTCTCTTCACTTTGATACTATGAAATTGCTAAAAACGACGTCGTTTCTTATCTCACCCTAATTCCCTGTATCGACTGCTCTCTCCTGTATCGATCTATGAAATTGTGTTGAAGAAAGGTTTTGTTCTTGAGTTCTCATGCTCGAATACGAAGGAAATGACTCAAGGAGTTTAATCAGTGGTCGTTCTCAGAATCAAATCTTCATCTTCGGTCCCACTTGCTTCAATCAGGGTTTGGTCTCTCTCTGTTTCTTCGCTATGTTCATCATCTCTGCAAATCACAGAAAGCTTCGATTTTTGATTCTGGGTTTCTTCTACACTCTCGTTCATAAATGGTTTTGGAATCTCTTGAAATCGTTTGCGTTTGCATCTTCTGGATGGTTTAGTTCTGCAAAACTTAAGTATTGTGTGTGTTACTGTTTATTCCGGACCAGGATTGAACCTTTTGATTGAGCTGGTTACGGAAGATTTGAGACTTAGTCAGTTCTGGGTTATGAGAAAGTGATGTTCAAAGTACGTTTGATCAGTTTTTCAAAGAAGCATAGTATCGATACTTTTGTTGTTGATGATGCTAAATTTTTTTTTGTTTATCTCTTACGGGTATTTGGAGGATTTGTTGAAATGTATGATTCATTTCGATTTTGAAATTTTCTTCTAGCTAAGACTGTAATCTTGTAATAAAAAAACTGATGCTTCTAATGTCTGTAGTCCAGGAACTGTATTGATCATCCTTGCTGGTAGATTCAAGGACAAGAGAGTCGTCTTTCTCAAGCAACTTGCTTCTGGTTTGCTTCGGGTGAGTTCTTTACTCTTCTGATTGTTTTTGTGTGTACATGCAAATCGTATCGAGTATTCGGGTTTGATTATTTACACTACTATGTTCTATTTGGTGTTTTTTAAAAGGAACCATTGAATTGAATTATGAATTTTGGTACTATATACAAGATTTGTTTTCTTTGCATCTATTCTTTTGCTTTAAGAATCGCATTATAGATCAACTCTGTCAATTACACCGCAAAGATTATCTGAGAAAATAGTATAACTAATGAAAAACATTTGTACAAGTTTGTTTACATAATGAATGTATTCGTAAAAATTGATTAAATGTTAAACTCATTGTGGTTGAATTTTGACGTTCAGATTTCTTATTATTGTTTAGCCAACTTATAACTGATATTCCATGTTATATTATTTGGCTTATTTGTATAGAAAATGCCGGGACTTCAGAAAAGCATTAGTAATAGTTTTGTATTGCGTAATGAAGACCATCTATCTTGTTATCAATCTGATTTGCTACTTGTGGATTGCCGTGAGGAAAAGGGGATTGGAGTGGAATCATAGAGACAGGCATGTTCTGTAGCTTATCCATCATTTCCAGATGTGTCTCGAGGAAGACAACATCGTCTCTTCTTCTCTCTCGAAATTTCAGATTCCTTGCCTCCGTGCCTCACATCGCCTCCTCCTCCTGGCTTCTACGCCCGACGAATACCCGTATCCCTTTCTTCTTCTTCTCATCCTCCTTCTCCCGCCGTATTTGGGACTCGAGCGGCGGAGGAGACGATTACGACCACATCAGAGCTGACGTCAACTGCCCTCGCTGCTCTGCTCAGATGCTCGTCGTCTTCTCCAACCGCCCCTTGTCCCTTACCGCTAGAGAACCAGGGATCTATCAGGCTGTTAATTTCTGTCCTCAATGCAAAACTGCTTTCTACTTCAGGCCATTCAAGCTCGCTCCGCTTCAAGGGAGCTTTATCGAACTCGGTAAGATCAAAGCAGGAAGAGAACGCGATGACGACGATGCTGATGATGATATTCGTCATCCTAGAAATTGGAAAATTCAGGGTCTCAGAAACAAAGAAGATGAGGAGGAGGAATCTAATGACAGTGATAAAGAGAAGCAACCCGTAATGAAGCTTCCAACTCCCAAGGAAATCTGCCAGGGGCTAGACGAGTTTGTCATTGGCCAGGAAAAGGCAAAGAAGGTCTGCTCCTAGCTTCATACTTTCATCACCTAGCGTATCGAATTGATTCCCGTTTCTTACACACATCTTTCCTTGTGCAGGTGCTTTCTGTGGCTGTTTATAATCATTACAAAAGAATATATCATGCTTCCCAGATAAAAGGGTCTGTCTTCCATGTCATTATCATTCTTACACTCCATATGTGTACCAACAAAGCTCACTCCTTCACTCTTTTTCAATTCCAGGTCTGCTTCAGAATCAGATAACCTTGACATGGAGGATGATAACATCGATCACGTGGAGTTGGATAAGAGCAATGTGTTGTTGCTTGGCCCTACTGGTTCAGGTACATATTGTTGCTTTTGCTGTCTGTGTGCTTACCCATTATGCTCTTGAGAGTATTAAGAGCTTAGTATGCTTACTGTCTTGGCCTTTATGTTTCTTGCTTGATTGTAAGAACAGGAAAGACCTTACTGGCAAAAACTTTAGCGCGTATTGTCAATGTGCCATTCGCCATTGCTGATGCGACTTCATTAACTCAGGCAAGTTGTTTTGCTAATCCCTGTAAAGTTTGGTTAACTGACTATGATAAATACTTAACTGAGAATCGTAGTATATTTTACATCCGCAAAGCATTAGGCCCACTAGGATGTCTTACAATCCATCATCTGGTTATCATTTTGAAAAATATTTGAATAATGAAGTGACCTTTTTCTGGCCTTTAAGGGGAAATTCTTTGACAAGTCTTGCTCTTAGCATAACTAAACTACTCTTCTTGTCCAGGCAGGTTATGTTGGTGAAGATGTGGAATCAATATTGTACAAGCTATATGTGGTATGGCCTGCGATCACCTCATATTATGTCTCTGGTTTTAGCATTCCTTCTTTTGGAATAACATCTAAACAACTGTGAACTGCTTACTGAATAGTTTTTGGCTGTCTACAAATTCGGAAACTACAAATGTACCTTTTCGTGTCTTCGGCATTAATACAAAATAGTTCATAACAGTTCAGAAACTTTGTATCTTTTCAACAGTTTCTTCTTGGTCCACTTTTTTTGATTTGGTAAAACCTTGTTGCTCATGTTCGCTGTATGCAGTTTTCATGTTTAACTTTTTTTCTTAGATGCTAATATGAGCTGGATATTTTGTTACTGCAGGAAGCTGGGTGCAATGTAGAAGAAGCTCAAAGGGGAATTGTGTACATTGATGAAGTTGATAAGATGACTATGAAGGTCTACGTTTTCTTCACTCCTTACCTTTGGTTCTGGATTGGTTGATACTCGATACTTACCGACCGATTTTTCTCTCTCAGTCTCATAGCTCTAATGGTGGTAGAGATGTCTCCGGAGAAGGTGTTCAACAGTCATTACTAAAATTGCTGGAAGGAACTGTAAGCTTTTCCTATTTTAAATCTTTTACTTTTTTTAACTGCATATAGATGTAGACTGTTGACAGAAACAACTAGGAATTATTTGTTCGCCTTCTTGTTGATACAGTTTGGATCAGGTTTTGTATGTGCATATGCGTAGTCTAATTTAAATTAGCATGTATGTTCGGAACAAAGACAGGGTAGGGTCTATTCCCTTACAGAGAGCTAAAATACTGACTATAGTATATACTCGATGCCTTGATGATATATTTAATCAGCAAACAGTATGGAAAATCAGTATAGTGTGGAGATCTCATCATAACATTTGCCGTTCTTGATAATCCAAAAAATTAACAATTCCAGCTTCTGTTAAATAACGAATTTGTAGGTGGTCAGTGTCCCGATTCCTGAGAAAGGATTACGGAGAGATCCTCGAGGAGATAGCATTCAGGTAAATGCATGAAAAATCTCTTGCTTCATGTTTTCTTTTATGCATGTCAGAATGTGACACTGTCGGCCAAAATATTCCTGTTCATGAAAAAGCTGAACCTTTTGGCAAAAAACCAAACATGCAGATGGATACAAAAGACATCCTTTTTATTTGTGGTGGAGCATTTATTGATCTGGAGAAAACTGTTTCCGAAAGGTAATTTTCTCAAGTTTTCAATCCTATCATTTTCTCTGTGTACTATAGAGCTTGAATGGCATTTATATTTCTCTTGACCAGAAAACATGATGCCTCTATTGGATTTGGTGCTTCCGTTCGTACAAACATGAATACTTCTGGGATCAGTAGTGCTGCAGTAACATCCTCCTTGTTGGAATCTGTAAGGAACATATTCTTATATGGCTTATTAAACTGTATGCTAGTCTTTCATGTAAATTTTTACTGTCCAATAGATTCAACTTGTTTGTTATCTGTAAACAGCGCACTGGTAAATATTTTGTTAATTGATTGTAGTTACAAAGTGAAGATCTTGTCGCTTATGGTCTCATTCCTGAGTTCGTTGGAAGGTTACCCATCTTAGTGAGCTTATCTGCATTAAACGAAGATCAGCTTGTACAGGTACGTAGCTTGTTTCTAATTTTAGTAGTCGTTACTGTGCTTATGGAATGGTTTTCAAACATCGGTTGTTATTTAAGTTTTCCCTCGATTTGCAATAAGGAAAAGACATTACGAGTTCTTTAAAACTCTCTTAATTGTCCCGGTTGTGTATTGTTTATGTTTGTCCCACTCCAGTAAATGCGTGATAGTTTTTACGAGATTGCATCTAGAGTTTCCTTCAAATGTCTTTATTTTCAGGTAGCTTTTTCAATCATGAGTTATATCTTTTTCTGGTTCCATATGTAGGTTCTCACAGAGCCTAAGAGTGCATTGGGTAAACAGTACAAGAAGTTATTTCGCATGAACAATGTAACACTTTTTTCCACTCCAGGTTACTTGCATATGCTTCTTCCCTCGCCTATAACCCTCTGTGCTGTGTGGATGATTTGTTAGGTCCAACTGCACTTTACTGAAGGAGCAACCAGGCTAATCGCAAGAAAGGCTATGTCGAAGAACACTGGTGCACGTGGCTTACGGTCTATACTAGAAAGTATCCTCACCGAAGCAATGTTTGAGGTCTGAGGCATACACTCTTATAGTTCTTGATACTTCCAACTTAGTAGAGATTCTATCGAAAATCATTGCATTTTTGAATTCCATCATTAGAAACATCGTGTTTATGCTTTGAATCCTGAACAGGTACCAGATAGCATAACGGAAGGATCACAAGGTATAAAGGCGGTTCTGGTGGATGAAGAGGCTGTCGGTTCGGTAGGAACACCAGGATGTGGTGCAAAAATTCTTAAAGGAGATGATATGCTGCAACAATTTCTTGAAGAAACTGAGCCAAAGGCAAGTTTAGTGTAGCCTTAGAACCAGAAAAAAAGAAGACTTATTCTTCAATTGAATAACAATTCCAATCTGAAGGAATTAAAAAAGAGGTTTATTTGATTATAATTCAATTCGTGACGATCATAAGTTGCAAATTCATATTCTTCAGTCATTGACAAACACATACTAGACTTACATACATTATGAGGGTTATCTTTGGGAAAGTTTCACAAGTTGCTTTGATCTTACAGGAGAAGAGGAAGGAGGATGAAGCTAAAAGAGCTCAGATCTTGTGAGAGGTGTGAGTTGTTATAAGGCATGAATGAAATAGAATTGGTTAGATATGAGATTACCTTCCTACACACGTTAGAGACTTTCATTTTCTTATTTAAAGAAATTATAATGGTCCATGATTACATAGAATTCAGAATTTATTTTTTTTTTTCCAAAAAAAAGTTTACGCGTTGATAACTTTTTCGTTAGAGAACCTATAGAGAGACCCTCACATTGAGGAAAAATTATACCATAACCTTCTCATAACGCAAAAGCAAAGCACCCCCAAAATTTTGTATTAAATTTACATATTTTGTATTCATATTCCCTTAAAAAAAATTTCGAAAAATCTTAGAATAAAAGGACAAAACGAGAAAAAAACATAGAATACGACAGAAGACCGACCATTCTACTTTAATCCCATGCTCAAAAACAAACATAAATCGACCATAAACCAAAGAAACAAAAACATTCGAGCAAAACATTTTTTCAAGAACCACATAATGGGATTTTGCTTCTCCAAATCACAAACTCATGAGATCCCAATCTCTTCTTCTTCCGATTCTAGCCCTCGTCATCGCTACCAACCTCCCCCCAAACCAACCATTCCTCAAGGACAAACTAGTCATTTCACACCCAAACCGG